GAAAATTCATAATTATAAAGTTAAGAATTTAAGTTTAGCATAGATTGCAGTCTTATAACTTGGAAACAAGAAATTTCGCTGATAATCCACCTCTTTCTTTTAATAGGATTCTTTTCTTAGCTTTGTTTCTGATGTAGAATTTGAATTAAATATTCCATACTCATTACATTGATAAGAGAATACTCGGAAGTCGCTTTAGATTTGGACAGCCCTCTTCCAACTGCAACATACACTTCGAGGCGAAAAATAAAAGTAAGCGTCGAAAGATCGATAATTCTGCCAGAATCCAAGGTTAGGTACTCTAACACATCCACACATATATGTATGAAGATGGAATTTCTGGGAAGAACTCATTAGAAGGTAACCTGATCATTAAGATAAGAATAATGCCTTGAAATAAAAGTCTTCGTTACTGTATTTAATTTGATCTTCCTAGTATATTAAAAAAAAACGGCAGAGATATTTATTTACTACAAAGTCTTCGATTGTTGATGTATTAAATTTCTATGATCTTTTCTTTTCTCTGTAATACTGAAGTTGGAAATTCCGTATAAGCATCGTCTGTAGGCGAATGTCGAACGAGGTTTATATTTTTGATAATTTTCTCTCCAGCTGGTATGGAATGGGTCCCAAGAACCTGATCATCATATTTTAAAGATTTTTTATTTGGAGATTATTATATGTATCTCTGTATCTTTATTGTTTTAACGAAAATATTAAATGTATTAATTGTCAAGTGATACTGTCATTAATTTGCTTGAATATCTGATTATTTATTTGAAAAGAATTAGTGAAAGATTCAATTTTATCTAAGCCACTCGTACTAATTATGCACAGATTTTTCACTATTAGCTAAATTTGACCTGCTGTTTATCTCTGAAATAAGTATTGAATTCAACATAAGTTTAAATTATCTCAGTTAGAATGCTTTTGCTCTGAATTCTAAATTTCGTTAAAAGATCTGAAAATACTGAAATGTTGACAGTATCAAAACTGGAAAAGTCATGGTATTTATGTAATAAACTAACTTAGAGAGTTTGATTTTCTTTGGAAGCATAACATAGCTTCAAACATTTAACAAGCATAAAAGCAAACTATCGCTGTGTCTGAAGGCCCACTACCAGCCGAGTGGTGAAGTCGCTGAATACTGGTAATTGGGTCCGATGTTCGAATCTCGGCGAACAGGCTGGTTGCATGCGCCATGTGTTTTTTCCATGTGTAACGTGTATACAAGCCAGTTTCCCTTAGAAAGTCCTCCACGAAGGCATCCCTCCCCTTAGGCAGATAGCCCTAGTGTGCTTTGCCATAATTAAATACACGCACACCTTTCTCAAAGTATTTCCCTCACATTTATCAATTTTTTTATCTGCAGTATTTTTCCCCTTGTGCTGACATGTCTTGTAAAAATTGTAATGAATGTGAAATAAAATATGCCTGAATGTATATTGAGTTAATTGACATGAAATATAAAGTATTTGAATTTGTAAGTAGTGCAATTTTCATCTAAAAAAGATGTTACTTATAGAGTACTATAGGAAGTATAAAACAAACAGTGGAAATACAAGTACTAGAGTTGTTAAATTTATAAAGAAAGAATCATCTAAAATAAATTAAATAGTAGGAATATTTGAAAAGTAGGGCTAGGCTGTAATGAGCTTTTTAGTTTACCTCAAAAGTTTAGTCCATTGATATTATTATTCATATGTACAGGGTTTGTACGGTCCTTAAGAGTCCTTAAATTTTTTTTAATCGATTTTTGGTCCTTAAAAGTCCTTAATTTTGGCCAAAATCAGTAGAAGGTCCTTAATTTTAATCATCTGAAATTTTCTCTCTGTTTTTACGACTCCCATTTTGAGTGTGAATTAGCATTTTGGAGGAATATTTTTGGCAGTTCACTGACGTATATGGTTATCTTTTGAATGGTTAATGGGTTATAATTTGTTTCCATTTTTAACATAAATGATGGGATACTCTAGTTTCTAAGCAAGAAGTGAAACATAAGCATTTCAAAATTCATTTTTTCTAATAAAGAGCTCTTAAACAACATATCGCTTTTGGGGTTGTGAATTCTTCCGTTAAATGGTTTTAAATTTGACAACTTGTCAACATTTTGGCGATTTTAAGATCAGTTTCTATAGAAAATTTTCTATTCCGAGATATGAGAATTTTTTGGCGATTTTTTTTTAAAATATCATAACATTGATAAATTTCATTAAAATAATGGTAATATATTAGAATTATATTTAAAAAATAATATTAAAATAAAACATTTTTATTTTTCGCTGTCATATTATAAAGTTTCATTTTGGCAACTTATTATACAATATTTTAAATCTGAAAATAACAAGGTATAAAGCATAATTTACGAAACAGCTCTTAGTAAAAGCAAAATTAGCTATGTAATTAATTGAAATGTCTGTTTTTTAATTTTTTCATAGTAAGCGTTTTTCCCATGTAATTGTCTCAGATTATTCAAAATTCTCAGAATATGCATCAGTTTTCTCTATAAAATTAATTTTACACTTTTCCCACCCCCTTTTTTTTTCAAAATATTTCTGGCTTTTTGCTGTTACAGAATTGGTCGGGATAATTTTTCTTTAGTATTTTTGACATTGCAGTAAGGAAAGTTTAGAAGGATTTGAAGGCAAGATTTATAGACCCACGATTCTAGAAGATTCGAGAAGTATGTGACAAAATGAAAAATGTCTCCATGGTATCAACATATCAACACGTAATGGATGCATTTTACAGAAAGTTTGTGATGAATTTCTTACTTTTTGGAGAACGTCTGCAAGAACAACGAAAACATAATATTTGAATGTTTTACTCCTGATACTAGAATCTTTTTTCTTAACATGTTTATCTTCCCTTTAGTTTCTCTACTTTTCACTAGACAAAAGCATGGAAAATATAAAAAATGCTTCTAATCTTATCACTTGGGCAGGCATTATAGAAAGAGTTTTTTTTTATTAATAAAGAAATTGAAGCTTACAATTTAAAAGATTCATCTAATGTGTCTAAATGCATCGTACACAGAGCTGGTGCTATGCATTTTCCCACCTGATGCAATCTCTGTGTATCCTAAATTCTGCTGCCTAGTGCCTATCTAAATTCTGCTTCCATTGCCTGCTCTAATTCTAAAAGTTTTGCCATTTCTAGATTTTGTTGTTCTGTGTGTCACTAAATTCTAAAAATTCTGCCACACCTGCTCTGTAACCGGCCTTTACTATATATATTTCATATTTCTTCTGAATGTTCATATTACTAAAAAATTAAATTAGCCACATTTTCTGTACATTCTAAATGCATTTAGTGTTTTTTAGAATAACAGAAATCCTTAATTAAATCCAAAAATTATAAAATTAAAAGGAAACATGTTGAAGAAAGAAACCGAATACATAAAGAAAATAATTCTTCAAAGATATGTGCAGTTATTATTATGTAAATTACCCAATTGTTTATCATTTCAGCCTTTACTATAATTTCCCACTTCTGTTTCCTCATATGATAGAGCTACTGAGCCAAATTAAGTTAAAATTAAATTGTATTATCTTTGACCACTAGTCCACATTTTTAGTTTGAATTTGACTGTTCTTGTTTAATTATGTTACCGTGAGCTGTAATTGACATTGTTAGCATCAGAACATGCCTTTATGTTCTAAGTTCTTTGTCTGATATTGTAGTTACTTTCAGATACAGTGATAATTTGCTTCACGTCTATTGGATGGGGACTATTTAACTTTTACCAGATCAAGTAAACCCTCATAGGTACATTGTGGAGAGGTTGACAAGTTAGGAGATAAAGCACACAGAAACTAGCGAGAACATTGGTTTGCATATTGAGACAAATTTCTAATTATATTATTGTATTATTGTTCAATCATGAAAAACCATACTTTATTAATCCTATTTCTGATACCATCTCTTAAAAGAACATGGTAGATATATATACATAGTGTCTAAGTTTATTGAGAGAAATAATGTCAGAATTGCCACTTTCAGTGTTGTAGAGTGCCAAAGAATTTCTTATTGCATGCATTATTAAGCCTGCAAGCAGGTTGCAAATATTCTACTGAATGGTAAAGCATTTACCATCTATTGTGATTGACTTATTGAGAGAAATAATTTCTATTGACAAAAATAATGCTGAATTCACTGTAGATTAAGCAAAAAATATTTCTGAAAAGACTTCCCGTCTGTACCTGATTTCTGTTAGATCTGTTAATCCAACTTTCTTCAGCTCATTTTTAAATGCTTAATCATGGTGTCTGAGTTCCAGAGACATTGAAATTGGACATAAAATCATCAGGACAGGTAACGTGGTATGTTGGGTCTCATTCCTGTTATTTTGCATGAATAACTATATTACAGATGGTCACAATAACAAAGAGGGCTCTCTTGTGAAAGGTGGATCCTTACAAAGTATTCCTAAGGCTAGATGTGGCTGTGTACATTATAATGTGATTCCACATGGGGATTTAATCAGTTTGAAGCTAAAGGCTGTAGGTTTGTATATGCTAAGGGAACATTCATAAGTCAAACATTCCGTCATGATTTTCTGATAATAAACAAGTATTAAATCAAGATAATGTAGTGAGTCATTAGTCTTCTGTATTCAGGTGGTGGACTATGAAACATTCTATTAAATTTATTACCATAATTTAACCCCTGCTAAGACCCGTGGGAGCAAAGAAATCCACAAATCCAGAATTATATGTAATGACATAAACAATACTGAATTTTTTTAGCATTTGGTTATTCAAAAACTGGAATTTACAGACATTTTAGACTCTGTATAAGTAGCAACCGAGCTATCCCTGCTGAGTTCCGAAGTGCACAGAAATCCGTCACACTGCGTAAATAACCTTTTGTATACTTCATAACTTTTATTATTCTTATGTTAATATGCATAAATAGTTTTTGTATATGTAATAAAGCAGTTATTATTCTAAAATTCCCGTCAAATTCAATTCATATATTTTTTTTTAATCTACTTTTAGAAAATCATGTGTTTTAGCTGATAGTAATTTGGAGTTTCTGCGTGAATTAGTTTCTACGATTCCAGATGTACAAGGCGAAGATGAACAAGTCAATCCGTGCTCATTGGATGGAAATTTATCATCAGGAGAACTGCGTGAAGCCCCGTTTGTATTCTTTTATAATTTTTTTTACACTTAATGCTATAATTTAGATATTTTTCTATATACATTTTGTTACGATTTGTCTATTTATATAATATAAAACTCTAATGTTTATAAATGCTAATATATGTACGAGTTCTACTAATAACGATAAGAAAAAAATGTATGCAAATAAATATTTAAATATAGTTTGCATGAATATTACTAAATGCGTGATTTCACTCCTTTAACGTATATTTTTGTAGCTGGAAAATTATGTGTGCATTTACTTCAAGAAATATGCTTGTATAAAAGATTATCTCTTTAAAGAATTATACAGTATACATATTTACAGTTATACAGAATTATACAATTACTCATACTTAATTATACATTTGGGAGATAACTTACAGACTGTCAGAAAGTTTGGAGTGCTAGATTTATTGGACCAAATTTTGACAATACTCATTTCTTTGTTAAATTTATTCTAATTTTGGTCACTTTATGCTTGTTGTAACTGTTGAATCACTTTTAATTCACATTTTTCCTAAAGGGAATTATAATTTTTTAATAAATAGGAGAAGAGTCACAAACAAATAAATAAACAAATAAAAAGTGTATTATAAACAGCAGAATCTTAGGAACTATGCTAGATTATAAACATTTTCAGTCAGAATAAACAGATTGATCAAAATGCTTATGTATCTTAAAGAATAATGCTCCAATGTTTGAAGGTTCTTCTAGAATAGTATTTTATATTTGAACAGTATTCTTAATTGCTTAGCAACTTTTAAAAAAAGACTTAATGTAAAAAACCAGTTTTCAGGCTTTGAGTTATTCGTAGTTTTAGCGAACTACCTGCTGATTGCTATGTTTCATGAATATAAATTTTTAACACATGATATGCACTTGTGGCTTGGAATGAAAATTTTTAGATAAATACAGTCAAAAGTTTTTAATCCGGACTCGTCGGGACTTCGACGATTCCGGATTATCGGTTTTTCCGGATTATAGATCATCAGTTTAAATCTGGTAAGATAGCATGCAGAAATTATAAAATTAAAATCATGAAACCGTAATTTATGATATAAAGAGTATCAAAATTTAATAAAAAAAGCTTTATATTAATTGTTTACTTTATTAAACATTTCTTTCAACACGCGCAGGAGTAAAGCATACATTACATGTCGAAATTAGAAAATTGCAACCAGAAAACTATTTGATGTGTATTCATGATATTTATAATGACGGGGAATTTGATTTAAATCATATCAAAGACGGAGTACATCGAGATGAAATACTACATTTAGTAAGGAATTATAAGCCGAATAAAAAAAAATCTGCTCTGACGATAAGGATAGTGCTGACAGATCAACTTCCAGTTTGTTGCACACTGCGTCTCCCGCCCCCCCCCCCCCCCCGGCAGAGCAGCGTGAAATTTAGAGAATCAAAGAATATGCCTTTTTCCATTTTTTGCAGCAATTCCACTTTTTGTTTGATGGACATTGGAACATGCTTTCGCTTTGTAGATCCTTTGGTAGCTCCAGAATCGGAAATTCTTTTGGACATAATCGAAAGTTCAAGCTGACGCATGCGCAGAAAGTTTGTAGCTTTGAGGTCCAGATTAAAGACTTTTGACTGTATTGTTAAATGTACATAGTTTTAATTTTGCATTTTGTGATATTGGCTTAAGTGTTAGATTTCTTTACACACATATGTTTATTGTGAAGTGTACCCATGTTGAGGCAATTAATTCAGTTATCAGATTTTAGTGAAACTTGTTAGCTCTGGAGCTGTCTTTTTATTGTATCAGTTATTATGTGGTTAAGATAGTAGCGAGAGCAAAGCATAAATCAGATAATAATAAGAGCAAAGCTGTAACATCTATTTTCATGTTTCATTTCAAATTCCAGAATCTTGCGTACAGAATTGTTATAAAGTTGGTAAAGAATTCTCTCTGTCTTTGAAATAATGTCTGTTAATTGCTGTGTAAATTATTTTTAAATTATGTACCTTATTTGTTATTATGTTTTGTTGATATATAATAAGGTCTAGCTGATGGTACTGTCAGTATTAACACAGAGAGACTAATTTTTAAAAATTTTTTCCCGTAATTTGTATTTTGGCACAATTTTATTAAGCATTAAATATGCATTTTTGTTTGAGATATGCAAGAAAAATGTTCTCTCTAAATGCAACTTAAACTATGGGGGGGGGAGAGATTCTCCTTAACATCTGGGATCAGTGATGCAAGTCATAATACTACTCTGTGTCTTAAATGTGAATTTTTTATTTATTTATTTATTTATTTCAGATCACATAGACGACGACCAAAAGATAGAGGAAATAGTGAAGATAGTGCAGGACCTAGCCATTCAACAGCTGATGAATCAGAAACTTGGAGTGCTGAAGAAGATGGAGAAGAGGTATGTGCATAACCTCCCTCCCTACTCCCAAAAATCTGTTTTTATATAATTTAGTACATTTATATGAGACTTCATAATAAATTATGTTTAAAATATCCTCATAGTATACAGCTGCTGAAATTAGTTTAACTGCAAGAGAAAAAATCAATGAGTAATGAATCTCTATGTAACTGCATAATGCAATATTTTTTTATGTAAGTGAAGTTTGATTCGGTTATGTGTAAATTAATATAGATTTTTACATTATGGTTACATTGCCTGAAGAATTCACTTTCACATATATGCTTTCCATTGTTTTCCAATGTGTGATGTGTTCAATCAATCATGTGAATATACCTTTGAAAATAATAATGTATAATTCATGGAAACAATTGTAGAATTTGTATAAAAGTTGGTAACTTAACATTATTGAAATAGAAACAAAAATTTTTTAAATCCAATTTAATTTACCTGAAATGTTGAATCTGTGTTAATTTAAATTTTTAGGCATGACAGTTTTGGCATTATTTTATTTTAGAGAAAAAATTGAAATTTTTTATGAGAAAAGAAATTTGCTGTAAATTTTCTGATGATGATACATATATATTTAGAAGTTTGTGACATGAATGTGTTGAAATCCCTTTGCACCTAATGCAAAAATACCACAAATATGAATTTTGGTGTATAAAATGTTTGACATATAGAACAGAATAAGAAGCCAATGATTATTTAACACCGAAAAGTCTGATCTTAAATATTATATATTTGGAATATATTGTATAACTTAAGTTCCCTAAATACATATAAGTAAATATCATAGGATTCTGAAGAAAGTTGTACAGAATCAACATCACATCATCCTGTTGTTTCATCTTTGCCTGCAGCATCCATTCCTCCTTTGCCTTGCAATGTAGCATTTGCAACAAGGTATTATATCTTTTGTTTACATATTAATTACTTTCTGATAACCATAAAATAAATAAATAAAAGAAAACTATTCTGTATGATACGATCACAGAGAAGGAAGTTCTGTCTTTTGTAACTAGTTAACGTAATTTTCAATGGAAAAATTCAGAATACAAAAGGCAGTTTTTTTCACACGGTTTTTTGAAAATTTCTCCAAAACCTATTTTTAAACAGGAAATAATGTTCTTCATACTTTTTGTCTATATTAAATATATATATTAATAATTGATTAAAATTCTGCTACATAATAGATTTTTGTTTTTCATAAAATTTTACATAGTTAGAATTAGTTTTGAAAATGAGACTGAATTATTAAAAAGGAGTACATCTAAAATAAATATATATTGAAATGATTTTTCATTGTTCCCCTTCACAAAATCTTAACCATTTAATTTTAAAATGTCGCAGTTTTGAATTTATATGGCATGTACAGTTACGTGAAATTATAAAGGTTTTGGTAAAGAGCTAACAGTGGAAATGGTATTGAAAGTTAGTAACATATTTTCTTTGTGTTTAATAATAGTATTTTATCTTTTAATGACAGGGATATTATGTGAAAATATTAATGTAGGCAGTATAGCAAATTATAATAATTATTTCATGAAAAAGGTATTAAATATTTTAAAATTTAGAAATTTAAGTATAGAATGTTAAATATTAAATTCAGCTTCGTTTCAAATACATGATTCCTAATATAAAATATATTTTTAAAATCCACTAAAAACAGTAAAAGTTCTGTTACTTGGTGATACAACTGAACGACCTAAATAATGGAGTGCAGATTGCTTTGTATTTAAAGTTCTAGCAAAAACGATTTATTTTAAGGTTTCGATGATGAGAGACAAATTTTGTCTTTGTCCCTCCCCCCAAAAATATGGAAAGAAAATAACTTTTGAATCGTATTGGAAAGTTTAGTGGCTGAATTAAAGAAATCAATCTTATGAAGAAAAGCTAGCCTTCATTTTTAGTTGTCAAAGCGTGAATATCTTTCTTCATGTATTTTACCCCCTAGCTTTTTGCAAAGTCCTAAAAATTAAAAGCAAAAAACCATCAAAAAATGGGACAGTTCTGTTCTTCTATTCTACTGGGTTCATATGGTCTTTAAGAGTCTTTAAAAGTCTTTAATTTTGGTCAAAATCGGCAGAGGGTCCTTAGTTTTAATCATCTGAAATTTCTGTCTGTTTTTACGACTGCAATTTTGAGTGTGAATTAACATTTTGGAGGAATATTTTTGGTGATTTGCTGACAAATATGGTTATCTTTTGAATGGGTTCATGGGTCATAATTGTTCCTTTCTAATATGGTGGGTACTCAAGTTTCTGAGCAAGAAGTGAAACATAAGCATTTCAAAATTATTTCTAATGAAGAGCTCTTAAACAACTTTTCACTTTTTGGGATGTAAATCCTTTAATTAAACGATTCTAAATTTGGTGACTTATCAACATTTTTGGCGATTTTAAGATCTGTTTTTAGAAGAAAATTTAAATTCCGAGATCTAGGAATTTTTCAACATTCTTTTAAGAATATTGTAACATTGATAAATTTCATTTAAATAATGGTAATATTTTGAAGTTATATTTATGAGATAAAATTAAAATAAAGCATTTTTATTTTTCGCTGTGATATTATACAGTTCCATTTCGGCCACTTATTATATGTGGAAAGGTATAAAGGAAACTAGGTGTGTAATTAATTAAAAATGTATTTTTAATATTTTCATGATAGGTTTTCCCATGTAGTTGTCTCAGAAGAATTTTCAAAATATGCATCAGTTTTCTCCAGAACTTAAATTGCGCCAGAGCCTTTCTCCAGTACTTCTTAGTTTTGGTGATAAATCATAACTGGAGCCCTAAATAAGAAAACTGTAACAGTTCTTTTATGTACCTGAACAAAATTTCAAAAGAAATTTGATCTCAAAAATTTTATTTTTAGTTATAAAATTATATTAAAAATCTCTCATTAAATTTTAATTTATCTCTTCATATTTTAAATTTTTATGTAAACTATTTAATTTCTTTAAGCATTAATTATTGGTGATTTTATTAGTCATCTTTATTTATTTATTTTTGTACCTCTTTCTTCACAGGGCTCCAGCACATCTAATTTTATAAATTAAGCCCTGTTTTTCTCTATAAAATTAATTTTACACTTTATTCCTCCGATTTTTTTTTCCCCCAAAAAAAATATTTCTGGCTTTATGCTGTTGCAGAATTGGTAGAGGTAATATTTTTTTTAGGATTTTAGACATTGCAGCTTGAAAAGTTTAGAAAGATATGAAGGCAAGATTTATAGACCCACGATTCTAGAAGATTCCAGAAAAAATTTGACAAAATTGAAAATGTCTCCATAGTATTAACATGTAATTTCTTCCTTTTTGGAGAACGTCTGGAAGAACTATGAAAACATTATAGTTAAATGTTTTACTTCTGATACTAGAATCTTTTTCTTACATTTTATCTTCCCTTTATTTTCTCTACTTTTCACTAGACACAAACATGGAAAATATCAAAAATGCTTCTAATCTTATCATATGGACAGGCATTATAGAAAGGAATTGTTTTGTTAATAAACAAATTGAAAACTGACAGTTTAAAAGATTCATCTAATATGTCTTAATGCACCATACACAGGGCTGGCACTAGGCATTTTGCCACCAAATGCCGTCTCTGTGGATCTTAAATTCTGCGGCCTGGTGCCTTTCTAAGTTCTGCTTCCAAAGCCCGTTCTAAATTCTAAAAGTTTTGCTATTTCTAAACTTTTTTGCTCAGTGTGTCACTGAATTCTAAAAATTATGCCACATCAGCTCTCTAACCGAACCTTACCATAAATATATATTTCTTCTGAATGCTTATATTACTAAAGAAATAAAATTAGCAGCTTTTTCTATACATTCTAAATGCATTTAGTTTATTTAGAATAACTTAAAAACCTTAAATTATATTAGCTGAATTACAGCCCCTGGAACTCTACACGAAGCTACGACACTAACTGCGTCAGACAGAGCCCAGCTAACTTTCAGAACTTGCCAAGCGTGCCTACAACAGGCCTTTCAGGTTTGTTCTGATCAGCAGGTCTCTCTCTAGGTAATCAGCAGCGGTGACAACAGCCAGTCTTTTGTTGTGGATCATGCTAATTATGATTTTACTTCTCATTTTAACCGATGCTGCGTGACATAAAATCTGCTTACTATTCACTAAAGCTCTAGACTGAGCAAGTATGTGACAAAATGAGATATAAAATAAAATCAACATAAAAACTATTAGTAAACATTTTAATACTTGGCAGTATCAGTGATTGAGTTTTGCTATTGTCAGTATAAGTTAGTATGTGGCATGCTGCCCATCAGCATTATTTAGCTTCAGGAATACTCTATTTGTCTTTTTTTTGGGGGGGTGCCTATGATGGGAAACTTCGCAAATGCCTAGAAGGCAAAAAGCATGTCTGATGTTAGGGGCTACAAATGATTATGGCAGAGCAGTGCTATGAATGTGTTGAAACACTTCCCTAATAGATGAATGGCAGACCACAAATTGTTTGTGTTATTACACCACCAGCTTTTTGAAACTGGTTTCTTTCATCATCAGTAAAGAAAAAAAAAAAAAAAAAAAAAGGAAATGTCAGCCAAAAGCTTTATCATTATTCATCTTGACCTTGGTAGAAGACAGACTTAGCAAGAGCTATTGCATGTTACATAAGTGTGACTCAACATTTATCAGGCAGAATATGCGTTTCTGTCGTTGAATATAGAAATAAAATAACGTGCGCATGTATGGGAAGGGGAAAAAAAAGGAGGGAATGGTACGAGCGGAAAAGAAAGAAATGGCAGATTCGTGTTTTTTGGCATGATGCTGCCGGCGAAGGATGTGCATTTTAGTACCTTTTTATGAGTAAAAAGATACCGAGTGCATTTTATCACAGAATAGGAATTTATTTACTTCTGTGACTCAATGTTTATTTATCTAAAACTAGCAGATGTACCCGATGGATTGAGAGTAATGTATCTAACAACAGAGAGAATCATGCTTTCTCTAATAACGATGCAAAAAATACGGTTCATAGTGATACATTTTATACATTTATAGTCATACATGATGCGATATGGAACCCACTTAAAAATTTTCCATAGAAAAATAAACTAATTCTCTCTCATTATATCAGCAACAATGACACGCAGTTTTTAAATTATTTTCATATTTCCAATCAAGTGGTCGTAAAAGCTCAAATTCCACTCTTAGGAGCATGTTAAACGAAGACTTATTGTCAGTTGGTCATTCGCGGATTATAAAGGCTGATTGCATGTTTTCTTTTCCCGAATATAAAAATGTTTCTTAAAGGTTATTATCTTAAAAAGGAAAAGTTGTAAAAAATACTCAATCATTTTCGTGGAAATTTATGGAAAAAAATAAGCATATGTAGTCTTATTAACTCTTTCGCATCAAGAGAGAGAACCAAATCTCTTTTCCTCAAACGTCGAAAATGCCCGTGTATGCAAATTCCTCTTGCAATGCTTTTCCTTCCCTCATGACAAAATGAATATTACAGCGCTAGCAATAACCTATTTAAAAACACACTTCTTTCTTGAACACTTTCATCCTGAGTGAAGTTCTTCCTTGGGACAGGATTGCAGCTTAGGGCATCAACAGCTACGTCGAAAATGCCCGTGTATGCAAATTCCTCTTGCAATGCTTTTCCTTCCCTCATGACAAAATGAATATTACAGCGCTAGCAATAACCTATTTAAGTAAAGCTACAACTTCTTTCTTGAACACTTTCATCCTGAGTGAAGTTCTTCCTTGGGACAGGATTGCAGCTTAGGGCATCAACAGCTACGTCGAAAATGCCCGTGTATGCAAATTCCTCTTGCAATGCTTTTCCTTCCCTCATGACAAAATGAATATTACAGCGCTAGCAATAACCTATTTAAGTAAAGCTACAACTTCTTTCTTGAACACTTTCATCCTGAGTGAAGTTCTCCCTTGGGAGAGGATTGCAGCTTAGGGCATCAACAGCTAAACATTGACAGTAAACAAAGGAAAAAAAGAAGGTGCCTTAAAATGACAGAACTACTTTTAGTTGCTTCAAAAGAATGATTGGCATGTCATTTAGCAACTCCTGAAAACAATGACCAATGCAGTAACATGATGAGGGAAAGCATTGTGTAAAAAATTATTCAGGCACCTGCCAATGTCTAAATGCTGGGGCATTTGGGGCGACTTTGATGTGAAAGAGGTAATGATGATACATAAGTTTACAGCAATATAAAAGAAATTTTTTAATGTGAAGTATTTTTATATTGATTTATGTTGTATAAAATGTAATTTGAGAATTTAGTCTTGAAAATTTCAGTGAGATCAGAGTTGTACAATTATGTTTATTTGTTCAGAACATGACAAAGCATTCAAGGGTTATTTGCTTAAAGGGAGCTTTTATGGAGGACATTCTAAATTAAACTGGCCACTTATTTTTAAAGAAAAATGTTGGGATTTTTTTTAAAATTAAATTGTATTGGATTATTTTTGTGTCATTATTCTCTGCTTGTAATTTTATTGTTTTATAGCTTTTGTGCTTTAAAAAACTGTTAAGTACACAATTTAAATAAAATAGTTTTGAAATTGTTTTAATGCACCCAAAAGTGTAAAGTTACACTAAAATGGTATAATTTTGAATGATTATAAGTTATTCTAATAATTCATATGCAAATTTGATATTGTCTGCTGTCTTTTGTGTTATACTCGTATCATTAATACCTTTTTCTCCCCCCAGTTCATCACATCATTACTTACCTCATCCTCTTCAGTGCATACCAAGTAGCAGCACATCTAATAATGTAGATGATGATTATGACTCTTGACATTTCAGTCTAAATCCATGCTTTTTAAATGACTCAACTGTTATCTAGTAGCATAGTTTTAATCCAGCTGCTAGTCCATTTGATGAAGTTCAAACAGCTGAGCTGGTTATTTAATATTCTGTGAACCAGCGAAACAAAGTTTCAGTTAACTTTTGCACAATACATCTGAAGTATTGATTTAAGTAGTGAAATATTGTAAATCACCTTTTGTTCACCTTTGCATTCAGTGGAGAACCACCATATTCCAACTATTAAATGCTTTTACTGCTAAAATAATAGGGCATGAAATCTTGCCAAATATAAACTGATATCTTTAACTTGTCCATGAAGAAATTTCTAGTTGAAGGTTTTCCTGGTGTTTTGATACTATTGTTTAGAATGGTGTGTTTTTTGCTATTAAAAAAATAATAATAATAAGTGCAATTAATTGTTCTTCATTGTGGAATAGGGCCATAACTGTAATTAACATTAAATTTTTTATTAAATATTTATTCAGAAAGATGCAATAACTCATAAGTGTAAAATGTAAGCAATAATTGTTTCAATAGTTGTGGTAAAATAATCTATCATTAAAATATATTTGTACTGTAAATATTAACCAAGGTGAAAAATTAAATGTAAATTTTCAACAATTGTGATATCATTTATGAAAGAGGTGTGTCTTTAAAAATAGTATTATTTTAAAGCTGTTGAAAACTTCATTTAAGTTTTTTTGATCATCCATTCTACATATTTTGTCAAAAAAGTATTTTCATTATAAAGAAATATAATTGTGGTTCTCCACAAGCACATGTGTAAAAATATTTTATTTTTGTAATTTCCCTCTCTTTTAGGAGGCTATAATATGTGATACTTGTGTTTGTTGGTGTTAATTTTTGTCACAAGTATTTATGTAGTTCAGCTGTAAAGTTCTCCCCCATTTTTTATGTAAAAATTTTGCATTTTCCCTTTCATTCAAATTTATTCATTTTAAGTTTGAAATTTTTCTTCAACTTATAACCAAACATTTTTGATATTTTGTTATTTTCATTGATTTAAAACTCTTTAAAATTGTCATTTTTGAATGTATCTTGTTAGTCTTAAATTATCATTTGCATTAATAAATGTGATCTGTTGGAAAAATTGTAAATTGTCATTTCATATGTGAAATATACATTCACTATTTTAAAAAGAAAACTGTTAATATATGCTGATGATATTTTAAACAACATATATTAGTAAAAATTTAAATAAATGACATATATTTACTTTGTAATACATTGTTAAAAATACATGCCTTTATCAATTTAAATAGTACATACATAAAAGTGGCTGACAAATGCTGCAAGCCATTTTTAGACAGCAGTGCTTAAAGATTCCCATTTGATCACAGCGTAGTGAAAACTTCTGAGTTACTTCTCTCGGTGAATATTGTACATAGAATGTTGCTTTTCCCATGGATTTAAAAAAATTGTGTATGTTTATGTGACACATTTTTTTAAAACACTGCATTTTTGACTTGACATTTTTCATGTGAATTTACAAAGTGTGACAGAATATGCTTCTGTATGCATTTTAAAATGCAATGTATCTAATGAAATTGAAGAAATAATTTTAATTTTAACTTCCTGTATTAGCATCATGTCGTATTGTAAAATTTGTATTCAGTGTTCAACAGTTACATGTTTTTGTTATAACATTAAACAGTTATAATAGAAATAATAAAGAATCTGGACTTTATTTGGTGTGTTATTTTGTAACATATATGTATTATATATATATATATATATATAGTTAGAAGATTAAGGCCTAAGTTTTCTATTTTACTTTTTTAATTGCCAATGTAAAACTCCTCACAGTATTCTTTTAAGGATTCCAGAGATGAAAGAGACTTAACAGCAAAGAGTGTATATTACTAATAAAAATAATGTACTAAAAAGAAAATACCGAAAAAGTTTTTTTGTTGCTTTCTGAAAACATTAAAAGGTATTCTTACTTTTTTCAGGAATTGTGATCAATTTGATAATTGTCAGAAGTTCACTCTAACCAAGGATAGAATTCAGTGAATCAAAGCAATGTTGACTCTGAACTTAAATATTTGGAAATGGTTCATTCTATTCATTCAGGCAAAACTTTAGAGTTGTTTATTCAGGTTAAGGGTATTAAATATTGTTATTGTAACAAAAGTTTCCCCCTAAAAAACGTTTTTAGTAAATTTAAGAAAAAAAGCATGAAAGCAATATGCAATGTATCTAATGAAATTAAAGAAATAAAAAATGTTTAAAAATTAGTAATCACGTCCCAAATCGATGATTTTCTGCCAATGTTTTAGTAGTTTTTTAAAGCTTTAGGTCCAAAAACAGATCAGCCTCATTTCAGACGTCGTGTGCAGAATGGAAGTTAGCGCCATCAAAATGTAGTTTCAGGTGTTAAAAAAAAGTAGAAATTGGAAGGAGAGATGTTGGGGCTGTATGGTGGGTATGGCAAAAGATCCCATTCGAGTCTGTATCAAGTCCAGCTGATGAATGCAGACACATGTGGTCTTGCGTTATTTTGATGGAAAGTTACCTTTTCCATACTACCAGGTTGAAGAGAAGTCAGTAAGTACTACCAGGGTTGCCATGCTACCTGGAAAATCGGGAAAACCGAAATAAAGTCGAGAGAATTCGAAAGTTGACCGAAATAGTCGGTCAACTTTCGAAATGAAAAATTTAAAAATCAATTTCACCAACTTAAAAAGTCGGTGAAAAGTCATGAAATTTAAGTATTTTAGGCAAAATCTGGAGAGGTCAGGGAATTTCATGCTGCGTCCCCCCCCCAAAGCGAGTTTTGCGCCAACGTTGGAAGCAATCACTTTCTTGGGGAATTATGTATTGCGTAAGCGTCATTCGGGCAGCTGGTGTAGAGCTAATTTTCGCAGCTCGAATCAGATTGTCTTTTAGAAAGTTTCCAGTAACCTCAAGAATCTAGAGACTCGCATGTGCGGTGCATGTTGAAGTAAAGAAAATATCATTCCATTCTCATATGAAACAAAATCGGTTTAATCTTAGTGTAGGGTACCACTGAGGTTAGAATAGCCTCCATACTACTCTGTACTAACCTGAATGTATGGTACACACGGAATTTGGCGATAATTTTCAAAATCATGTCAAGGCTGTAGCGTGTACTAAGATTTTACCACAAAAATCTTTTAAACCTCTCTTTTTTTTCAAATATAAATGCTTTATTTGTCATATTGCAGTAAAAAATATATAATTAGTCATCTAGGCTAACCATTTAATATAGCTATATTTGCCAAAATTCCATTGATTATTGTAATTCAGTTTTTAATTAACTTTATTTTAATGCTATTTGTATCTCATAATGTTGCTTCTTCCCTCTAAATTTCACTCAATTTTCTTTGGCATAATCCTGAATCGAATTCTAGCAGTATGATGGCATACTATCACGAAATTTAATACACTATATGTTTTGCTTATCTATGCTGCTAAATAAATGTAAAATACCTGAATATATTTTAAACTTTCATTAAATAGATTTCTTTCTTTCGTTTAGCTGCAAATGTCTGCAAAAAAAAGAAATTTTTTAATCCACATTGGGCAAATTCTAATCTTGGTCTTCAGGGGAGAAAACAACTCCTATTATAGTTATAATAGTAATGCTTTGGGAATTATAAGCAATATATATAAGCAATTTTTTAAAAACAAAATATAAACATGCCTAGTATTTTCACGCATTGAGCTGTTGAAAAATTATCAGTAAAGACAAAGTAGAACTAATTTTTCACAAAGACCAAAAATTGAAATTCACAATTTATAAATTTCAAATAATCCTCTAAGTGCAAAAACGAAGTTTAAAAATTTTTAAATCAAAACTTTTCAAATAAGAATTTAAGAAATTTAAAGAAAAAGTGAAATAATAAAATACTTCAGTGAAAAATTCAAATCAAAATTTTCACTAAAGTTTTGTCATGAAGTTATTTTTATCATCATATTAAATTTTCACTGAAGTATCATTCACTTACATTTTAAATTCTTTGGTTTATGTGCTATTTGATTAAAGATAAAATTTTGATTTAAATTTTTCACTGAAGTATTTTATTATTTCACCATTCTTTAACACTTTGCGGCTCAGTGTTCCACTACATGGAACACCCAAATTGAATCGCTTCTAAAACCTTTAAATTCAACCATAAATAGATGAAATATACTTTGAACTTATCTTTTTAAACAGTAGATAGCAGCATATCACAAGGAGACACAGAATTTTCATTTATTATGTGTTATTAAAATCCACTTTTTTCCAAGTAATTTTCTCTATTTTTTTAAAGATATAAAAAATTTTATTTGGGAAAAAATTAGGCATAAATTTGCTGGCTGTCCTTCAACTTATTTGTTCTATATTTTTTTTAATCTTTCATACAAAAACCATACGCAGAATCATTGAATAAACCCGGGTGTTCCATTGGCGAGAACACTGCGCCTTTAGTGATCTCATGGAACATCTGTGCATAGGAGAGAACATCCGTTGTTTACGTTTTCTGTTTCCGTTGTTTTGGGGGGGGATGAATTCAAACAAAGCAGTATTGAGGGGTGAGGTGTGTTTTGTGTTATGAAAGCCTTAATATTGGCATCTCGAATTTTTTGGGAGTAGTTTTTGGGCGGGAATTTTATTAGTAGCTTGACTCATCTTTACTTAGAACTGCGCGAAATTTTTGCTGTCACTTTTTAGGCTCATTCTCATTTATTTTTAATAATTGTGTAGATATTTTTCATGTACGTATATATTATGGGCTTATTTTTCTTTATTGTTAATATTAATCGTAGTTGGTTTGTGCTTCCATCAAAGAGGTGCGACTTGCTTTGAACAATTTCACGAAGCTAAGAAATAGGAAAATTTGTAAATATTTTTGTATATAGGACTTGTGTATATAGATATTTATCTCATTTATCTGTATATATTAAAGAATATTGTGTATATCCAGGAAAACATGTATATAGCCATAACACAGAGTTTTTTCATTCTTATACAAATGCTTCTACTCATTTTCGTGCTTCACTGCAATGCTCGCTTAGTCGCACTTTTAAAAACTCTGGCGGTGCAGTGTTCCACCTCATGGAATACCCACAGAATTAAAACGGTAAGTGCAATTTTTACAAAATTTTACTTGTTTACTCCTTTAGGACTAAATAGACTGTGTACAACTTTTTTTGTTGAAATTCCGACGTTAACGTATAATGCGCCGCAAAGGGTTAACTAGAATTCTCTTTAAGTACAAGATTCTAATTAAAATTTACTCCCCCCTTGCTTTGGGGAGTGGTTAGACTTTTTGGGTGAGCTATTATAATTAAAATACATTGAAATGGTTCGTTGCCTAATTCTGGGTTCAGAAAAGCAAGGATTTTTGCAGAAGAGAGATTTCAATTGATTTCAGTGTTCTTTATGCTGTCGAAGTGGCAGTGAAGTTGATTGAATTGCTCTTCTATTATAATTGGGGTATTGCTTTTTTTGAAAAGTTTTGGATTTTAACATTTTTTAAATTCCTTTTTTGCATTTTACCATAATTACCTGTCAGCACAGTCAGCGGGCACTACACGGATAGACAAAAAAGCATTGAATTTCATTCTCCTATTTGAGTGGCAACCCTGTTCTATATTTTTTCTTGATAGCAGTGTCAACATGGACTAGCATCTCGCTATAGACCGTATTGTCAAGGGTTTTACCTATTTCCAGATACTCTTTGTGGATAATACCGCAGTAGTTCCACCAGATACAAAGCATGATCTTTTTGTTAGTCAAATTGCGCTTTCAGACACCTCACCGGGTGCAGACCAACCCCTTTTCGGTTTGTATTGAAGAAAATCCACTTTTCATCACAAATGATGATCTGGTCCAGAATTTTGCCCTTGTGTTGATATTTGAGCAGGTTAGTGCAGGCCTGAACATGTCTGTCCTGATCTGCTTGAGTCAGCTCATGTGGCACCCAGCAGTTTAACTTGTATGTAAAGTTTATGCAATATATATACTAATGGACATGGCACTAACGTCTAATTCCTTAGCAAGCTCTCAAGGGGTTGCATACTGATCTACCACAAGTTCTCACAAGCAGGCCTCATCAAAATCAGTAGGCCAGCCAGAGCACTCTGCTCCTTGAATGTCATAGTCCTTGGTTTTGACTTTTTGATTCCAAATCTTCACAACTAATGATACAACATTAGTACCTAAAGTTGTATACATGATTTGGTGACGTTCTGTGGCTGACTTTTTGCAACAGAATTGGAAGTAAATGATTCAAACCAGTTAGCGTGATAGTTCCATTTCAGACACCCTGTACTTGATGATAATGATATTTTTTACAAATTTCACAACTCAAGTAAGTCTGTTTCTTTTGAATGCCAAAAAATCATTTGACAAAATATGATTAAATTCTCCAACACGAACTTTTTGCGCAGATAATATTTGTGGTGACGGGAAACTTTCATTAAAACCTGATAACTGATTTTGAAATAGCATATTAATAGTCATGTTGGCATATGCTGCACCCTTCTTGAATTGTAATGTAACTGCAGTTGCATTTATTATAATCTGTTATAACATTTATTATATATATTTATAAACTGATGTTAATTTTAATAATTTACATTTTTATGTGAAAATGATTTTATGCATCACATCCGCAAAAGTGCGATTATTGCCAGGCCTTTATTTTTGTAATCATTGACATGTACTTTTAGGTACAAAAGTTTTTAAAATTACACAAAAATACATATTTTCATATATTTAAATTTTAAAAAACATGTATGAACTATAACTTATTGTACTCTATAGAAAATAAAATGCAAAAAGTTTGACAAAAATTGGACTAGATATCTGTTCTTAAAATAAAAAAACAAGATTTAAATTCAGGGGCCATATGCACAAGTTGAAAATCAAAATATTTGCATTAGTGCATAACTAATTATAAAATATCAATAACCTATTTTATTATCAAATTAGTAATTGTAAAATATCAATTTCTAATCATCATAAATTGCTGATTAAATCAGAGATGTCGTAACATCAGTTTGGCGCCTCTTGGATTCTGCGCCCGGGAACAGATGCCCGCCTCTAGCTACGCCCCTGGTCTTGGATCACTATTTAAAATTAAGTATCTCAGCAGATGATAGTTCTAATGGGTAGACTCTGTAGTGCTGTTATTAATTCATCACTCTGAGATTTAATTTTTTCACGCCGACTTATATCATTTACTCCTGGATTTAATTTAATTCAAGGATTTTCCCTAGAGGCCAAATCATTCTCTTCTTATCATTGCTAACTAGTACAATGTTACTTACTTTAATATCACAGTGTTTGACAGACTATCGTCTTGAAATTTTCAGAGTCTATAAATACTTTTACAGGAATGTTTTCCTAAAAGTGTCACGAATGTTCTGAGCGTGACGCAATTTACGTTTAAAGAAGTTTAAGTTGATTTCTTTCTTTATAAAAGGCACTAAATCATTATATAATTCTCTTAAAAATGTGGCTGGTGTTATGGCAGTGACATCTGAATCAGCTGATACAATTCTTAACTGTCTATTATTGAGTATGGCTTCACAGGTACACTAAATAGTGGGCATTTCTTCGTAATCTAAAGAAGCTTTTCTGAGGGATTATTCTTAAAATTTTCTTCATTAATTTTTTGAGATGCTCCCACCAATCTTCCCACCACGGAGCATCGTGAGACATAAACTTCCAAATAATGTGGTTTTCAGTTCCTCTTATAGAGACTTTTTTGAAATCTAGTGAGGCAAAAGCCATTAGATGCGCCTACAGCATTGGTACCGTTATCCGAGTAAATTTTGGTGGCTCTATGTAGCAAGAAACAAAGCGATGAAGAGCTTGAAGAAACGTTTCTATAGACAGAGATGTTACGAGTTCGAAGTAAATACAGCAATACACTGCGCATGTAGACAAGCAAATCCATGCCTGCAATCTGGAACACAGAGGCATCTTGAGTTCGATCACTGGGCGAATCTGATTCCACAACCACACATTGTCTCCCTCATTAAATCGATGTCTTGTAGCTCTTATGTCATATCAGGTCTTTATCTTCTCCGTCATCAAGTTTATTAGTGTCGAGCAAAACTGTGCATCACTTCAAATCGTGCCAGAGATCTTGGATTGAGATCTTCAGGCGATGAAAGCGCATCCGGAGAGAGACCAACAAGAGATCACAAGACAGACAAAAGTCAGAATCGAACAGCATCTAGGATGGGGAATAGTTGGTAGTCTCGGCGACAGCACTGCGATTGGGCGGTAAGAACCGTGGCAACTTATTGTCCCAATCCTTTTAGTTCCTAGAGATAACCAAGGAGAGCTTATTAAGGATGGTTCAGTGTCGTCTGACTGGAGATGTAAAAGTGTCGTTTGGGTTTTGTCAATGCTGAGTAGCTTACGAATTAGATAATAAAAGAAATTCGAAATTCAAGATTTGTGCAGGTTCGAAATTCTTCCAACTGCCCATATTCAAGTGGACTGCGTTATTCAAAATTTGACGGCTATAGGTACCGTTGATTTTTCACAATGCGAGAAACATACATAAATCCATGCAGATTTTTCATTATTTAATTTCCTTAAATAGAACAGAGGGCGATAATATTTGGCAACAACAATTTGAAAAGTGATACAGCCGACTATAGTGATTCGATGCAAAGTACCGTTTCGAGACAAATAGCCTTTCTCGGCTAATAAAAGCTGATTAATTCACATAAATGCATTATCAGAATTAAAGGAAATAATAAAATAAATGTAAGGTAAGCATTCTTCGATGTTAGGTAAAACAGCTTCCTTGTTTGGACTTCTAAGCCACTCAAATCGTTCTTGTCAGATAAGTACAGTCCAAGATTTCTTGACCAGGTAACTTTTATCCGGCTTTGCAAAGCAAAGATCTATGTTCTTTTCTCTGTACTTAAACAGAAAGTTATAGATTGCATATTTCTACCAAGAGAATACACGAAGATGTAATATTAGACTTTTTTATACAATTCAGAGGACCTAGCACCGATTTACGAGCAAACTTTCTTCATAATTCATAACAACATCTTTTTTGATATTCTCCTATCTTATTTCTTTTTAGTAATAACAGAAATTAATGTATTGAAGATGAAATTATTTCGTAATATCGGTTAAAAGATAAAAATGTAAGTCCAGACTTTTTGACCTCATAGTTAAAAAATTAGACCTCATAGACCTGAAAAATTCATGTATTCAGTCATAGAAATAGATTTTATAGAATTGTTTAAATTAGAAAGAAATGGGTCTAAGAACTGAATTACGTAACACAGGCTAATTTTGAAATATACACACAAAAGAAATGATAATTAATGAAGCAAAATAACTCTGAAATATGAATTTTAATTATTAGGAGAACGCATGACATTAAGAAAAATTTCACGGTGCGTCTCCACGCCACATGAAATATTTTATACTGAAAGCAAATTTCTAATGGCAACTACAAACTAACCGCTTCTGCAGTCTGTCAACAATACAATAAACTATTGACTATAGTGTTTAAAAATTCAAGTGATTACATATTAATACACCAATGTCATTATCAAAAATTACTCTTTTCGCATTAGCAACACTAGCCGTAATTTCAACACTTGTTGCGAAACTTCAAAATATTGTTAATGTTGATAATGAACTTGAATATGATGATATTAAACGTGAATTTCAAGATGATTTATATCCAGATTCTCGACGTCACCATTTGATGTGGTTTTTACAAGTAAATAATTTTTGTTATGAAACTCAAAGCACAGGTCTTTTAAATTAACATAATTAATGTCTTTTTTTGTGGCTTGTTTGTGTTTTTTTAATTAAAACTTGATTTTTTAAAATCCATTTTTTTATCATTATGATTTTAAATTCATAATGTGAATTAATGAATATTATAAAAATATCAGTCTATTAAAACGCACATTTATTCAGTGTACTGGGTATTTTTTTGGAACTCATTAAATAACAACTCAGTTTTCTATTAATTATGCACATTTTAATGTATTTCAGGTATTGTAATTTTATAAGTTAGAAATTACTCTTTTAATTGTCTAAACTGTTTTATTTATTAAGCATAAAATATTAAATATTACAGATAACTTCAATATTGGTATAGTTCTGTTAATACTAAATGTTATATATATATATATATTTTTTAAAGAGTCCAACGTTAGTCCAGATACCTGGCCAGCATTTTAATCACTTTCCCACTTCTAGTTCTTTAGTCACTGTCCCTTTTCTGAGTTTGCAAAATTTGGTAGTTGATCTTCTAAACTTTGCGCTTGAGTAGATTTGGAATGGTTACTCCTTGTTCTGTTCCTGTATATTGTCTACAACAGTTCAACTGTTTTCTTTAGTGTCTCTAATGTCTTTTTTTTATTTTTTCTTAATAGTTTTCCTTTTAACCTCAGTATATATGCTTCTTCTACAACTGCTGTTTTCTAGTGATTATCTTGATATATCGTAACATAATCTTCTTTTCATAATGACAGCAAAGTTTTTGTATGATGATGATAACATGACTTCTGTTTAATTCTTTTGTGGTTGATTTTTTCTTTTACATTTTCCTCAACTTGAAGTTTCAGTAATTCTTATGATGTAGAAAGAATTATCTTTCTTCTTCTACTTGTAAATTGTTGAGCAGATGATCCTAACATCTCATTAGCTGGAGTATCCCTATGAGCTAACAGTGCTAAGTAAGGATCAACACATCAGCTCGAGCTTTCTTCAACAGTTTCTTCAGAGTGTGTATTGAATGCTTTGCTAATCCATTCAACTTTGGATGGTATGGATTGCTCGTTATATATTGGTATTTCTTGGCTAATTCTCTACTTGCAAATTGAGGTCCACTATCAGATATCATGATCAATTACATGCCATAATTTGCAAAATGAGATTTCATATAACTGATCATTGTTTGACTTCAAGTACCTGGTGATTTAAAAAAAATGTTGGAATAGTAATCTACAATTAATAAGTATACATCTTTGTTAATCTCACATAAGTCTGTTCCAACTTATTTGATATTCATATATTTGATATTCGTACATTTTGAAAGTTTATCTTCTATCTGCTTGTTCATAAGTGACCAAAGCGAAACATCTCTGTTTCCTTACTTTTTTCTTTACTAAAGTGACTGTCATGTATTAAATTTAATATCTGTTTTTGTATAGATAAATGGATAATTGCCCTTCCTTCTTTGATAAATAAGTTAGTTTCCATTGTTAGCTCATCTCTATAGTCACAAATTACTTTGACTTGAGGTTCTAGTTAATGTTTCTGGTAGAAATATATTTAAGGGTACCCCTTGGCGAAAATTGGTGATTTGCCAGCAAGGCTTAATTTCAAGAATGCCGCTACACAAAAGCAAAATAACAAGTCAAAGAATCGCACAAACTCAGCGTCCGTGTACACATCGATCTGTTTTCACTTCAAAAAACATCAGAGAATTGTACAAACTCGGCATTACACTCTTAACTTTGTCTATGTACACATCGATTTGTTATCACTTAAAAATCGAAGGAACACCCAACTCTACACTACAGCCAAACAAAATATATATAAACTCAGTAAACTGCATTTTAAATCAAACAATGAAATAACATAAAAAAGGAAATACATCTTATCGCATCTACACACTACACAAAAGAAATATCCACTTTGGTGAGCATTTGAACCTTTCTTGCGACAAATGCATTCAAAGCCATCTGAACAATCTTTACGTTTGACGATAATACGCATTTCTTTCATGCAAACAGTACACTTATAATTCCGTTGAATAACATCCAACAAAATTTCTTTTCTTCTGTCCTCAACCACTTTGCAAAAAAAAAAAAAAAAAAAAAAAATACACACACACACACCAGCTTCCACTCTTGTTCTATACCACAAAACACCCAGTTTACCATCAGCAGGCATTTTACGATGCTAAGCACACAATATGCTACGTACTTCCTAACTGACATCCAGTGCAGAAATAAGCACTTACAAATATTTTCCCATCAGTCAAATTCACTGCAGTGAAACAACCAATCATATCATAATAGGGTTTCCATAACATTAACTACTCAGGTTACCATAAATGAAACAACAGCTGAAACCAAGGGGCACCCTAAAATCACTGGCGTAGCTAGAACTCTTGGGCCCCTGTGCAAAACATTTTCCTGCTCTTCCCAAATAAATTTACTGTGCTTAAAAAGGGGGGAGTGAAGAAAGTCTAGATTTGCGGAGATTTCTAAATAAAATCCTGTGGGTTTTACATGCAAGTATATTTCGAGTTTCTATATAAAATCTGTGCCAATCCAAGTTTTTTTTTTTTTTTTTTTTTGGCTTAATTTAGCAAGCTAGTAAATAACTAGTAACGAAACTCCCAGACAACATGATAGGTAAACGTACAAAAAAGAAATGACGCTAATATATAGCACTCTGTGATCAACTGAACTTACGAACATGACTTATATACAAGTCATAAATAAGAACTTTTACAATATAATGTAAATTATACATTTGTTAAATATAAAACATATTTATCATAAATTTCTTAAAGATAACTATTTGAACATACATTTTTTGTAGAAGATAAGTATGGGAAAGTCCCCCCTTTCTTTTAAGAAAACTTTTTGGTACACTAAACTACTCGAATACATGATTTTTATACTTGCTTTAAGATATGTAAATGTAGTTCAGCAGGACATTCATGGGCCCCCTAAGCCTTCGGCCCCCTATGCGACTGCATTCCTTGCATACCCTTATTTACGCCACTGCCTAAATAAAATATAGGCTAACCAATGTTTCCTTTCGTCCTAGTGTCCCAGAATATATTTATTTAAACACTGTAGAGAAGCATCACATTCATTTTCTTTTTTAATTCCTCAATTTTGTCATCAGGTGCTGGAATCAATGTGTAAATTTTTGTATCTTTATCATTATCCTCTTCTGTTGTATCGAAATATGCATTACTTAAAGTATGTACTATAAGTCACTATCGTTTTTGCAACTTGCATATTGATCATACTTTTGTAAAATTGTCAGCATTCTTTGGTAAAAGTATAGTTTAGGGTACCCCTTGGCGAAACTTGGCGATTTTTGGCGGTACATGGATACTGATTTTGTGCAATTCTTTGAATCGTTACTTTGGCTTGCGAAGCGGCGATTTTTGCGCCGCTACACAAAGCCAAAATAACAAGACAAACAATTGCACAAACTCGGTATCCATGTACACATCGACTTATTTTCACTTAACCCCCCCCCGAATTGCAGAAAAATGGCATTGCACACTCCTTTGACTTTATCCATGTACACGTCGACCTATTTTCACTTTAAAAAAAATCCTCCCGAATTGCACAAAAATGGCATTGTGCACTCTTTTAACTTTATCCATGTACACGTCGACCTATTTTCACTTAAAAAAAATCCCAGAATTGCACAAACGTGCATTGAGCACTCCCTTTACTTTGTCCATGTACACCTCGATATATTTTCCCTTAAAAGTCAAAGGAGCACCAAATTCTACAATATAGGCCAACAAAAAGTACATAATCTCAATAAAATACATTTTAAACCAAACAATAAAATAACATTAAAAAAAAAAGGAAAAACATGTTATACATTTAAGCACTACCAAAAGCAAATATTTATTTACCATGATTTTCGAATTCGCTTCGTACACCCAGAACCACGTAAAAATCAAAATATGAATCATACTCAAATGACTTTTTTCAAACTAGGTACTCTTTCTGATCGAACGCTTCACATAGTGACCATCTGAACCTTTCTTCCTACAAACCCATTCAAGTCCATCTAAACAGTTTTAACACACACCACAAAAACGCTTACAAAACATCCCATGATTCAAAATTTCTCAGAATCATGCACCCGATTACGTCTCAATAGGGTTTCCATAACATTCAACTACTCAGGCTACCATAAATGAATCAACAGCTGATCTTTAGAATATGGTAACTGGTAGTTTGGCGACATTTTGGAGGTGATAAAGGTTACTACCTGGGACTTTGGTAATAATGTGAGCAGTACTCAGTTCCGATTACACATTATTTTGTGTGAGGGAAATGAGAGATCATGGGATATGTCATGTGATATTAATGGACGAATTACGGTTCTTTAATCGGAAAAGGGGAGAAATCATGGAAAAATCTGGAAATTTTGTATTTGGCTTTATTGTGTGTTGTGTGAAACAGTGTTCGTTAATTTTTTTGGATCCCATGGCCCTAACTAAAGTGAATTCGAAATGGGTATTTAGTGGGATTGAAAGGGGTAGTAATAAGTGTTTCTTTAAGGTTGTGCGAGATAGAAGTAAAGATGTTTTATTAAGTTATTTATTACCTGGTACCTTGCTGTGAACTATAAGTATGATTTTAAAGATCCTGAAACAGGCGCACATACGCTTGCTTTTTATTTAGCGGATAAATAAGAAAAGTTTATAGGACACATAATCAAGATTCTGAAAAAATTAGGTAAGTTAGTATTTTTAATTATTTGAGGATATTATTTTTATGTATTGTTCTAAATGTAAGGTGGAAGTAAAGTAATTTGGTATTATTGGGAAAATTGTTATTAGCAATGATTTAGTTTAAAGTAATTAGGATTGTAAGCTAATTTTTATTAATTTAATGTATGTGCTTATTTATATTTTAAGTAGTGTTTTTGAATTTAATTATATTTTAATTAAATGATAGTTATTTTGTGAATTTTATGTTTGTAGGAATTTGG